CATGAGGTGGCCACAGGGGCAGCCTGTTCTGTCAAGGGGCAACTCTGGTGGACTCAGGGTGGCTTCTCTGCCCCAGGGGGTGGTGGTCTGAGGCAGTGGTCCCCACCTGGTCCCACACTGATGTCACTTTTTCTCCCCCCAGGGCTTCTCCATGCAGGGCCAGTACAGTGGGGTCTCTCCTGCAGAGGTGAGTCTGTCTCTGTGGCAGCCACCCCTGCTTCTGCAGGCACTGGGTCCATGCTCACTGGGATGACTGCTGCTGGGGATGCCTATCCTGGGGTGCACTGGATACCAGTGTCAGACCCTGGTGGGACTTCAGGGGACCCTCTGCCATCACCCCTAATGCCTCCTTCCTTGTCCTCCTCCCACTGCCTGGGCAGGTGACAAAGCTGCAGCAGCTGTCAGGGCACACGCTCCCCTTCGCCTCCCTGGGCCATGCACCTGCCATGATGTCAGGTGAGCATCTCCCATGCCCCCACCAAGACTGGGGATGTGGGGTACCTGTCCCGACCCACCCAGACACCTGGGCCTGATGAGGGGGTCCCCACACCCTGTACCCTCTGCAGTCCCAGCCTCCCCATCATGGCTACCTGACCCCCAGCACAAACCTGTAGTTGATTTCCTGGGATCCCTGCACTCACCAGTGCTCCCCACCCCTGCAGTGGGAAAGCACCAACACCAAATTATGACTGGTGCCTATGTCTCTCTCCAGGCCTGGATCCCAGCTCCCAGAGCAGCTCCCAGGAGTTCCTGGTGCCCAACGACGTATGTATCAGCCCCAGGGATGGCAATGGGGACCAAAACTTGTCCCCACCCATGTGTCCCACCCCACAGGCACTTTGCAGGGGCCAGCACCCACTGCCCCGCACAGAGAAGGCTCTGCCAGATCTCAGGAGCAGGAGAAGGGCTTTTGGGGCAGAAAAAAGGAAAACTGAGGCACAGGAGTGGTGAAAGTTCTTGGCCAATGCCAAGGGAAGGCCTTGGCCTGTGGCAGCCCAGCAATATCAGCAAGAGGCGCTTGAGTGAGACCAAAAATGCAGGGTCTGCCCAACGAAAGTCCTGCCTCCTTGGTGCCTTCCTTAGTTTTCCCAACCCTCCCAGGCACAGCGGTGTCTGTGTGAGCCACTGGGAGCTACCTGCATGGCATGACTGCTCCAGCTGCTCCCAGCTCATCCTGGTCCCTGCCCCTTCAGCTCATCGGCTGCATCATTGGCCGGCATGGCAGCAAGATCAGCGAGATCAGGCAGATGTCAGGTGCCCACATCAAGATTGGGAACCAGACTGAGGGCTCCAGTGAGCGGCACGTGACCATCACGGGCACCCCTGTCAGCATCACCCTGGCTCAGTACCTCATCACTGCCTGGTAGGTGCCAGCCTGGGTGGGGACACACGCTGGATGCTAGTGAGGGGTGACACTTCCTTAGCACCCCCAAGGCAGCTTTTGGGGGACAGTCCCACCCCAGCATCCTCAGGAAGGATGAGCTGGGTGGTGCTTTGAGGTCCTGAGATGGCAAGTGCAGGACTCCAGACCCACCAGGTTTTAGTCCCAGCTTTTTAACTCTCCTAAGTGGAATGCCCAGGATGTGTCATGGATACCAGTGTTAAAACATGCAGTTCCTGCACTCGAAGATGGGCAGGCTGGAGCAGGGCACCCACTCTGTCACTTTGGTCCTCACCATCCCATTCTTCTTGCTTGCTTCCCCAGCTTAGAGACAGCTAAATCTACCTCCCAGGTGCCGCCGGGCCCTGGCTCCATGGACCTCGGAATGGGCTTCTCCCAGCCCCTCACCCCGGGCTCTGGTGCAGCACTGCCTGCCGTCGCCCCGGCCCCCCCGGCCTTGCTGGGCACCCCCTATGCCATCTCCCTCTCCAACTTCATCGGCCTGAAGCCAGTGTCCTTCCTCGCGCTGTCCCCATCCTCCGTGGCAGGTCCC